TAAATAATGAAATATGTTCGATATGCTCGACACAACTTAAACAAAACCTGTCCCAAACATGGATGGGCTCATTTGAAAGGAGTCGACGATCCGAATGCGTTCACGCGATCCATTCTACAAAACAATGTTTGAATTAAAAGATTTTCAATATGGAACAAATATGTACGATAATAGTCCAAATGCGCATAAATTAACCATCGGATCGCCACTGACCCGATCACACATATTTTCAAATATAGTCATGGGCAATGTGTGATCAAAAGGAATATATCCCAAAGCCAACGATGAATCGAGATAAAATGCACGATTTGACCCTTCACCAGACACAAAGCAATGCAACATGCAGATGAATGTATCTACCTACGAAATTTGAGTGATAAGGTCATGCAAGTGACCGATGCTCAAATGGATTGTAGTTGGTAGACGACAAATGTTGGAAGAACCGTAGTTATGCAACGATGGTCGGAAGTAAAAGTCAATGAAAGTGCTTGACATTACAAATATTGACATTGAATGTTGATATTAAATTGAAAGTCAAACTCCATCTTTGATAGTAACTAAAATTAATATACACATCCATATTATATTAGATGACATGTTATAAGAAATCTTCTAAAAATGAAAAAAAATTGTGTATAGAATAGTTTTAGTATATGTTGGGGGGACTTTCTTTAACATAATCTTCACATCATCAATACAAAAATAAACTACTGCAATAACCATCACCACTTGTATGGCATGCATCAAATTTTGATAATAATGAACTCCTCACTAGGGAGAAAATAAGATCTTCAAATGTAGTGAAGAATTATTTCATTTTGGATGCCAATTCAATCAAATGGAGACAATCATCCCCTTTTTAGATGAAGATCCAAGCTCCATCACAATGTTTACAAATTTTTGGCATCACTCACAACTCCTATGTAGGGTTGTTAGGGATTCCAAATAGAAAAAAATACTAGACCTTATAAATGGAGAAGATCTCATTTATACTTGCAATATCAAACCTTGTTTAGAAGATGGAGCCTAAAACTACAAATGAGAAACTGCAAATGTGGATTTTTCTACAACTTCATGTATAAAGATAGGTCCATACTCCTACTAAAGACTAAAACCTATAAATAAAGAAAATTTTTCTTGAATAGAATTGTGCCAAATACATTTTAGATGGAACTAGAACTTGTAAATGAGAAATTAAGAAATGTGTGCTTTCCTATAACTCAACTTATGATGGATTGTTTGGTAGTCTTATTAGAGAAAATGCTTGAGCCAATTTAATGTGAATTCTTCTCTAATATGAGATAATAATGAGCCTCTCTTAAGAAAGACGTAAAAAAGGAGATCAACAAAAGGGAGCTTTTCTTTTATGTATGTATGGTTTCAAAAATCGGATCGAACCAGCCGGCCTGACCAGTTCAATCGAGAGCTTATCTTAAAGCTGGTCTGATTCTTCCTTAAAATCTTTTATGCATCAAACCGGGCTAAACCGATCATAACAGCTAGATCAAATGGCAAACCAGCTGCAGTTCCATTGAATAGGCAGGTTTAATTTTTAAATTATTTAAATAATTAAATAAATTAATTTAATACATTAAGAATAAAATATTAAGTAATATTAGTAATTTAACAAATTAATTTATTTTTAAAATGATTAATTTTTAAATAACAAAATTTTAAATAAGCATTTCACATGACTTCATCATTCCATGTGATTTCTTACCCCATCCAAACTCAAAAAGTAACATAAAAATTACCAAGAGCACGTTTCAAAGTGATGTGAGATAAAATAAGTTAAAGTTCTTATTTCTTAAGTTTACAACATATACTATATATTTTAAAACATATTTTATAAATAAATAGTTTATGATTAAATAGCTTTGAGTTTTAATTAATAATGTTGAATAAATTATATACCTAATTTATTATTTATGTATTATGAAAATTATTTATTTATAAATAGTAAATGATGTATCCTTAATAATAATTTATAAATGTAAATTTATAATATTACTTTAATATACATTTTATAGGTGTAAATGATACCTAAACCCTAAATTAATAATAACTTATATTAAATATTTAAATTTATATCTAAGAATTTTTTTTAATTTTAATTAAATTTAAAGATTGAATATATTTAAATTTAAAATTACACAGAGTATTATTAATTAGCGAGTTCAATTTATTTTTTTAATGAAAAAAGTATATTTATAAAAAAAAACCACATTGTTTTTTCAAAAAAAAAAAGGCCTGTTTCACATGCTTGCCTTGCTAGCCAGCTTGCTTAGCACGGTCTGAGCACAATGTTTGGGCAAGATAGGCATATTCTGGAAACAATGGCTTTAGTGGGACCATTAGCTGACATTATGAATTCAAATTTTGTAGTTCCGATCCCAACATAGCCTGCTCAGATAATTTTGAGAAAAAAATAAAGAATTCAAAGCAAATTTTTTGAATAATTTTTACTCAAATTAATGTGCTATCTTACATAAAGGTTAAAACTATTGCTTTAAAGAATTTACTTAGTTCAAGGGTATGCGAGGAGGATCATAGAAAAGAAAATTTTAAGCAAACAAATTATGTGAAGACTGAATATATATTTTTGGACAACACAGACTTCAATGTTTGAAACTACGGGGCTTATAAGACAACTCTTAGATGTTTAGTTGATAATTTTAAAATTAAATTTAGAATCATACAAACTCTAAATTTAGTGAATTTATAATTGAACTAAATGTCTCAATAAGAAAAAAATCAACAACATCAAAGCTGATTTGATCTTAGTCTAAATGAATAAAAATCAAGCATTTGTTACATATTTAAAAACTTTGATACAATAATAGAAAGACCAACTAATCTTTAAATAATGTATGCTTATAATCAAATTAAACAACTCGATAAGATGAGTCTAAAGAACTCAATATCATTTAATTATGAGGTTTTTATGACACTTAAATATTGAGTAAATGATGTATAATCAAGAGATTCAATATGTGTTATCCAATTTAGTGCCTCAATATTTTGACTAATTTTTTATCAAAATAATACTCTAAAAAAAACTAAAAATAGAGCCTATTGTCCACTTAGGGAGAAAAATAAATGATATTAAAAAAAATACTTGGATATCCGAAGTACTCTAGAACACTACAATATACGATACCAACGATCAATGCCAGTCACCGCCGCTATTCAATTATTGTTGTCTAACTGTTATCATCCAACTCGTACCACCTGGCACTCATAGCATATTCTCTATTATCCAATTAACATCATATGCTAATCGTTGTCTAATTAATATAATTGATTTCCTATCATCATCCTATTATTTCTCCCTAAATTTGTATTACAATTACAAGAGATCAAGTAAGTGCTCCCAACTTTATGATCTTATCTTCACTAATTTTGGAAAAGGGTAAATTTTTATAACAACAAATATATAGTAGATTATTTCGAATGATAAAGCCTCACGATTTTTTTTTTCTTGATCGTGTTTTTCATTTATCAATATGAGTTAAAAGCCTGACATGTAATTTTGTTCCTTCATAATTAGTGATCCTTTTATACTATTTTTAATTTTAGCAAATAACTTCCAACTATATTAAACTACCCATTATAGCTAATAAAAACATATTTTTTTTAGTTAAAACAAGTTATCAGATCGGGTTTAGGTTACTACCGGGTTTTGTTCGGGATTAAATTTTGACCGCTTTATTAAATGGGTTGGATTTGGATCGACTGGATTCAGATCAGATAATTTCGGGTTGGACCCGTATCTGGTCCATTGACCTATTTTTACACTCTATACCTAGCAACTTGCAAATAGATTTCACAAATATAATTTCATCGAAAAATGAAAATATATTTTAGCAAATATAAACATTAGTTTCAGCATATATTAAATTTAACTCGAAAAAATAAATAATTTTAGCAATTGAAAATATATTTCAACAACATATAATATTATTTAATGTAATCTAAGAAAGTAGCAAGATAGATCAAATGAATTTAAATAAAACTTTTTTATACAAATAATGGAAAAAATAAGACTCGAGAATTTCAGCAAAATAATGAATGAATCTACTCAATGACCCATAGGGGGCTACGATTATGTGAGTTTAACTTCGAAACAAATTTTAGGGTAATAATGGCCAATGATCATACGAGTTTATGGTTGATTTGATAGGAAATGAAAGTTTGCAATCTCTCGCTAATCTTATTTGCCGATGAAGTTACTCCAACATTTTCACATCTGTAATCGTTTCTCATCCTGTCTCTAAATATAAAGCCGGTCATCTATCTGAGCATCCTCATCTCTGCAAGACTCAAATTAAATTTTTATGACTAACATTCTACGCCATAAAGGATTGTAAGCCTCACTACTATCTTATAGAATATTTCCTTGTGTTTGAGTGGTACTTTTTTATCACACAACATGACCGATGCATTTCTCCACTTTAACTATCCAACTTGAATTCTACTCATAATATCCCCATCTATTTTATCATTGTTTTGAACAATAGACTCGAAATATCTAAAACTTGCACTCTTTTTAATGAATTGATTGTCCAAAGTCACAATCCCTCTACTAGATCTATTACTATTAACTAACACTCAATATATTCTATTTGAGATAAACTCAAACAAAACCTTTAGACTCTATCGTTCGAACAATTATTACGTCCTCCGACCGGATGCAGAGGAACATTCGGTCGTAGGCAAAATCCCGCCTATACCGAGGTGTACCGAGTTTGGAAAAACTCGGTACACCTCGGTATAGGCGGGATTTTGCCTACGACCGAATGTTCCTCTGCATCCTTACACTGGACCAAATAAAAGTTCCTATGGTTCACCTCCATAATTTAAGTTTTCCTTCAACTTTTTTTCTAAGTCTTTATCAGCAAGAAGGAAATCATCAACGGAAAACATACACCTCAATACTTACTCTTGCAAATGTCTAATGAAAACATCAATGAAAACATCAAATTGAATTAAAGCATTGTGTAACACATTAAGAATCACATTTTTAAGAAAACAAATAAATCCAACCAAGAAAACTACACAAGCTGTCGGGGCTTATCTTCATATAGAGCTGAAGAAAATAACAAACGTATTTGAAGTAATAAAATTTGTTTGCTTTAGCATATTACACACTGCGGTATTCCTTCTTCTTGTATAAATAGGATTGAGCAAAGCAGACAAAAAGGACCAGCGCAATAGCACCAAGTCCTGCAAGGAGCCAGAAGAAATAATCAAGATGAGCTCGATTCAAATTGTCTGAGAACCAGCTCTCCCCTTCTCTTTTAGTTATTTCATCAATCACTGAAACAAGCAAGCCACTAATGAAGCTTCCTATGCCGAATATACTGAGATAAAGAGCAAGTCCCAGGCTCCTCAAAGCATCAGGTACCTGATCATAGAAAAACTCCTGCAGGCCAACCATTCCAAGCGCATCCATGATGCCAAATAGAATGTACTGAGGAAGGAGCCACAATATGCTCATTGGAACTGTTGCATTTGGCTCATCGACCAAGCCATTTTCTCTTGCAGTTTGGATCCTTTTCATCTCCACAAGAGCTGCAACGACCATTGAAATCACTGAGAAGAACAATCCAATGCCAATTCTTTGAAGATGTGTGATGCCAGTGGAAAGCCCAGAAAGATTTCTGGCCATAGGAACAAGTACACGGTCATAGACAGGAATGAAGACAACAATAACGATGCTTATGATGCTTTGCAGAGCGGCCGAGGAAATTTGGAAGCTCGGTCCAATATGCCTGTCCATGGTGCCACCTTGCTTGTTGAACAAGGTTGAACTTTGAGAGAAGGTTATAGCATAGGCTAAGCAGGTAGCCCATATAGGAAACAACCGAAGCATCCCCTTAGCTTCATCAATTCGTTCATCAACAAGCAATTTACCCCCATTGAGAAGCCTAATTGCAAGAAGTTTACATAGTAATCAATGCTAAATGTATTGAAATTTCAGTAACAATGCAGTATAGAAGCATAAAGCTTATAAGTTGCACCATAATTAAGAACAACAAGTATGTTTTGGTAAAAGAATAGCAGTTCCCGGATTCTAACTTGTTCTGAACAATAAATGGGGGAACTGGCACTGGAAACCAAGATTTCTAAGTCGCATATAGGATTTTTTACAAATGGAGTGGAGAAAGAATATTTCCCTTTTCATTACTTTAATGCATTACTTTACATATCCTAACAAGGATAAGTTGGTAGAATGATAACAACCAACCTAAAAGAATCCGGCCTTCAATATTGAGTGAAAAACTGAAAGCAACCAAGATAAAAGCTTAAACAGATAAATTGAGGTCTATAAACCAAAATTAATTTAAGAAATAAATGAATTAGTTTAACAAAATTATGTTAATCCTGAAATCTAAAAGAAAACTCTTAACACCTTTGGGCCCTAGCCATGCACAAAAGTTTAACGTCTGAACAAACAATGCAAATGTCAATTGTTATCACATGATGAGCAATCATGGAGATAGTAGAATTTGACACTGTGATCTCCAATACTTATAATGTTTAATTTAGATTGCTGGGATCAGAAAAAACAAGTCTAAACACATTCCAAGCCCTGCAAACTGTTAATCTCTGATTAGAACCAATCTAAAAGTTTAATTAGTAAGCTGAGATCCAATATTTAAAAGCTGAAAGCAATAAAAAGAACTTTTACTTTGTTTCTTGATCAGATTGATAGCTGCTGTGCTGTTCTAGGTCTCCAGCTTCCACTTCAGATAGGAATCGATCTGCTGAAGATTGCCTGCTCATGGCCAAATCAGCCATCCCTTTGACAATCCTAACAAAGGGGCTTGTATCCTCCAAGGCATAGCAGCGGTAAGTCTTGCTTCCCAACAAGAAAACCAGAAGAGCAATGCCCATAACAGCACAAGGAATTCCAAATCCAAAGCTCCAGCCAATGTTGTCCTGGATGTAGCTCAATACAATGAAGGAGGCAATCATGCCACCATTCATCCCAAAGTACCACCAATTGAAGAATGAACTCCTTGCAATGCGCTCTTGGTTATCAGACTCGTCGAATTGGTCGGCACCAAACGCCTGAAGGCATGGTTTGTGCCCTCCTTCCGCAAAGGCTACGAGATAGAGGGATAAGAAGAACAAAACAACTTGGAGAACAGCTGGAGAACAGGATGGAGAATTCAAGGTAAGCTTTAGGTCTACTGAGCATGAGCTTGAAAGCACGGCAGTGAGCGTGAGCAACCCTAGACCCTGAGGATCAAAAATCTATTTGATTTGGATAGTGAATAGATAGGAAATAAAAGGGGTTTTTTAGGATTAGGGTGAACCAGGACGTAGAGAAGTGAGGCGAGGACGATAGTGCGGTAGCGGCCGAGGAACGAATCGGCGACAAAAGCGCCCAGGAGGGGAAGAAGCATAGAGGCGCCGGACCAGCTGTTGACGGAGGAGGCGGCAGCGGCCGTCGAGAAGTTGAGAGGGCCGGTGAGGTAAGTTATGAGGTTGAAGGAGATGCCATAATACGCCATTCTCTCGGCGATTTCAACCCCTGATTCCATCAAGAGAGGTAATCATTAATCAAGTAGGTGATAAGGGAAGAGGCTGTGCATAGAGGGAAGCTTACCTATGATAAAGAACGCAGAGGTCCAGCGACCAGAAGATGATCTAGAGATAGGTTGGCCGCGAAAGTCTACTACCCCGAACATGGTAGAGGATGGCCGGAGAAGGGGGTTCTTCTCCATTGAATCTTTCTCTCTCTCTCTCTCTCTCTCTCTCTCTCTCTCTCTCTCTCTTCTGGTCAATCCCGACTTCCTCCGGCGTAGTTGGAAGAACTTAGAGGTTTTGCAGTGGAAGAAGCAACGGGCAAATAAAAAAAAAATCATTATTTTAAATATTAAATTAGAAGAAGGTATATAATTAAAATAAAATTAAAAACTATCATACACATAAATAGATTTTAAAACAATTTTACTATTTTCTTTTAAATGGAATTTTTTTTGCTTTTTCAGCATAGAGAGATGAAGAAAGGGAAAAGGTTGAGAGAGATTGATCGAGAGGGAGAGAGAGTGCAAAATTCATTAAAATTTAAATAATTTTCCAAGTTTATATTTTAAATATTTAATTAATTTTAAATTTTAAGTAACTTTTAAAATATATTTTAATTATTAAATAAAATTAATGTAAGATATTAAAAAATATGATATTTAATATAGATTAATCAATTTTAATTTAAATTAAATATTATTAGATTATATCAACTTTAATATTATTTAAAAGTTTATAATTAATAAAGTATATTAAATATATATATCTATTAAAGTATATTAAATTTAAATATTATAATTTATGATTAATAAATTGATTTTTAATTTATATTTTTATTTAAGTTAATAAAAATTACATGATTTTAAATAAATATAATAGTTAAAATATTCATCATGTTAAATTTTTTTAATATCTTACTTTATTTTTATTAAATATTTAAAATATATTTAAGAAAAGTTAATTATAATTTAATAAAATTTTCAAATATAAATATAAATTATTTAAATTTAAATGAATTTCCCTCCGTCACTATATATTTCTCTCTATCCATCACTCTAAGCACAAAACTCAAAGAAAATTAACATTTTAAAAGGAAACACAAAAATGTTTTGCGTTTTCTTATTTTACAAAAACAAAAAATTTATTTACGTGTATAATCCTTTTTAAATTTTTTTTTAATCATATTCCTTCTCCTAATTTAAACTTTAATAATGATCCTTTTAAATTTTGCCCAAGAAGCAACACAGTGGTGTTTATTTTTATTTTTTTAAATTCATTTTCACAATTCAAATATCCTGAAAAATAAACACTTACTGCTATTCTCAATTAATTATGAGTGATTTAATTGTAATATAAAATATATTTTCTTGACAAAAGAATATATACAAATAAGTCGTCCAATAACTTAATTATTAATATCAATAATAAACAATGACTCCCCAACCTGCATAAGGACATTATTTTATCCTTCGTCATCCTACTCGATTTACTCCTACCAATTATATTTTTTTGCTAACATATAAATTAAAATATCTTCATAAGAAAATACTATGACAAAAAAAAAAGAATTACCAAGACAAAAGTTCATTCCTCAAATTATGTTGGATAGAGGACCCTGATTTAGCAACAATAATTAGAGGATTATAGTCGAGCGGTGATGATCATAATACTATAATCAGTTGATATTAGTTAAAAGATTATAGCCATGTGATGGTGATCTGATGATTGTAGTTGGGCGATGGATGCCAAAGGATTACAGTTAGATAATAATGGTTAGGGAATCAAAATTAGGTAATAGAGGTTAAAAGAACCATAGTTTGATGACATTATTTAGAACACCATTATTATCTGAAAGAATTGAGAGAATCATAATCGAGCAATAATGATTGAAAGGACTGTGGTTTAGTGATGGAAATTAGAGGATTGTGAATGTGTGTTGGTGGTTAAAAGACCATAGTCTGGTGACACTAGTCAGTACACTATAGTTAAATGGTGTTAGTCGGAGGTCTGTAGTCAGGTGATAGTCTTCAAAGGATTGCAACCAAGCGATAGTGGTTAGAGGATCATAGTCAGGTGACGATGTTTAAACAACCATAATTGGATAACAATGGTGCAATATTGGTGGTGAAGCTATGATTCGATGACGCAAATATGTAATAGTCCAACGTACAATAATAATCGAGTGATGCTCTAGTGGCGGTAATTCGATGGTGGTTCGAGGGTGATGGTTAGGCTAGAATGCTCAAGCTGAGCTTTGAAATTCTAATGATGCTTCAAGTGTTGACTTATTTGGACTCTGATTGAATCACCTTTGATATTGTTGGGTTAGTCTCATTAAAATATCCAGTTCTGCTATAAGTTTGTTGAAACTAAACTTTGAATGTTATTGAATTTAATTTTAAAATTTCCTAATTCAAATATGCATTGTGATTCATGCGTGATCAATACAATTTTTGATGGAATTTAATGTTGTATCTTATTGAGGTCATCATAATACTAAAATAATAAGCTCTCTTTATTGCACATTATATAAAACAAAATGGAATAATTTTGTAATGTGGATAAGATAGCTAGGTTGAGACTTATAGGCTTATGTCTTCAGTGATACTTGTAAGTCCATAAATTATTTTAGGGTTTTTGGTCTTAATAATATAACAAGTTTAATAAGCAATTTTAAATTAATTCTTACAGAGTCATGAGTGCCCGATGAATTGTTTAAAAATCTAGTTTTTTATTATTATGGAAGATTCTTTAAAGAGTATGAGTTTAGCGAAATAGAATATTAATAATCTTGATGGATCCTAGGTTCAGATACATACTTAATTTCTTATTGAAACGTTGACAAGAAATAGCAAGAATTTTGACATTAGGTTCTCGGCAACCAATATAAATTTATCGAACAATCATGACATGAATCCTTTAATACATTGTGTTAATGTTAGGACATTACATAAAAGTGACTTGTTGTATGACTCGAATAACATAGCGAGAAGCATACAAGAGCCACTACATTGGCGCCTAAGTGTAGTGTTAAATAAGCAAGTTGTAATATTTGCTACAATAGTGTCACACATATTCAAACATGTTCCAGTAAGTTTGTTGTAATTGAATGTCTACATTTTGCATCATACATGAGTTTAAAAGTGTTATGTGAATGTGTGAATGTCTAAATTCTATCATAAATTATTTAAAATGGTATGTGCCTGCATAGTGACGCTATTATCTAGAGCATCGCAGCGCGAGGTCTTTTTTTACAAAATATTAATTCCCACTAAAATTTTTTTTTTTTGGCAAATCCTCCCTTGGACAACCATTTTAGAGAGAGAGGAAGAGAAAGGGAGGGGGTGGGAGAGAGATTCTAGAGAGAAAAAGTAAAATTTGAGTGACTTTGCTCCATTTTTACTATCAGCCCAGTTCAAAAAGTTCTATGGGTTAAGGTAAGTTACATTATACCAATCTTAGTTTTTAATAATGTAAAATTTTGAGAATTTTCTCATTAAAATTATAAATTTATAGTTGAAAATTAGGGATAACTTCGCATCCACTAAATTTTCACTATGTAACTTTATGTATTTTATAGATACTAGTCTTTTGGAAATTTTTATATTCTTTTGAGAATTTTAGTTAGGTAAATTGCTATTTCTAGCCATTTAAAAAATAACTTTGACCTTAGAAAATAATGTTGCAATATATTTAAAAATACATAACATTGCTGTGAACAATCTCAGATAATTTGGTGAAATTATAAAAATATACAATCATGCTCAATTATTAAATGTGTTGGCTACAAGTATAACATTTTGTGAATTCTTATATTTTTTATTATTTCCATTTATTTATATGAAATGCAATTTTATATATATGCTTATCTCCTTGCTTTGTATGATTATGAGGGTTTTGGATGCTAAAGGAAATTCTCTTGTGCCAAATGCATTGGGAGTTATAAGGGTCAGATCTTTTGAATATTTGACGTGCTAAGCTTTCAGCAGTAATAAGAGCCTATGTTTTGATATGCTAGCACAGGAAAACATAAGGGCCTTAAATCTGATATCTATTTTTGTTGAGAGGAAAAAGGGCCTAAGGAAATCTATTATTTTCTGTTATGATATAGGAAGTACTTGTTTATTTATATTCCCTACAAAGTTTATTTATATTTTGTTAATTGCTAGCATTATAGAACAGCTTGTTAATAAGTGCCCTTATTTTAGATAAATAAATTTTGGGTTAATTGATAAAAATTTAGATTGATGAGTATGGTCTGTTGAACTATGTTGGCTCACACCTATTTAGTATTCTATTTTATGTCAGAAAAAATGTATGAAACCAGTTGGGTAGTTAAGGTTACATGATCTAATCTATCTGAGTTTGTATAGGTATTTCCTGGTTTTTTTGTACAATCATGGTTATATTCTACTATGGTCTATCTTTGTCATAGCCATGAATTATACGATAGAGATTTTATTATATAAAAAATTGGAAGATGAATAAAAGGAAAAGGAAAAATTTGTGGATGAGTTTAATTTCTATTTATCAAAAGTAAATTAGTAGCATAATCATACTTGTATCTTATTTAGTTATCATTTTCTTTTGTAAATATGTGGTTATTTACATCTTTCTATTTTTATTTTTAATTTGTTAATTGTATTTTAATTTATGTTTATTATTAGTATGTGTAGTAGAACCAATAAGGGACCCTTATTGTTTGACTTAGAAATAGAAATGACCCTTCAAAAATTAGAAAATATAAGAAGACATTATCATTAGGAATAGCTTAGCCAAATCTAAATCATGAATATCCATGTCCTATTAGTGAGTATGTCAATCTTGTAGTAGATTCAATTATTAAGGCCTTGAATTGTAAGCCCCGTTTTTTTATTCAGATGAATGAGTACGATTGTATAGGCAAGGCATCCATTGCCTCTTTTTAATTTCAAATTTTAGATGTGGGAATTTACATCTTGCAACAAATTTGCAAAATTGATTTTACTTTTGTGAGATTTTATAGCAATATACTTCAACCTGAGTCGATAAATAAGATTTAGAGGGTGAGCTATGGGCACGTTTCAATCAATTTTTCAAGTCCTACACATTTTTGTAATTTATACAAATCATAGGGTTTCTCACTCAATTCTCTTTCTCCCCTCCTTTTCTCTTTTATTTCTTAATCATTCTTTTTTGTTGAAGGTTCGATATTATAAACATTCATTAATGTATCAATCTACCTATAAATAAGATCTTGAGCTTAGTTTATTACCATCCAACATGATATGACCCGCTATGATAGTTGGTTATATTGGGTTGGAAGTGA